AGTAGACTGGTGCTTTCTGCTCTGCTTGTCCTGTGGCACCCCTGCCTACTGTGGAAGCCCAGAGCAGACACTGCTCCCCACACTGTATATCCTGAGTGCTTGCCAGGCATGGGGAACTGTAACTTTCCCATGGACATCAACCAGCTGGTCTTGACTGAAATGCCATGGCATGAGCCCAAGCACAGCACAACAAAGTCCAGAGCAGTGCAACCTCCTGTAGAGAGAAGAGCAAATTCGGAGGCAATCTGCGAAAGATTGATAGGATAGCAGTGGGGTTCAGAGGTCTCCTGCACATATCACCCTTGTGCAATCCAGGCAAAGCTCGCAAAAGAGCCAGAAGACAGCTGAGCGCAGAGCAGGGAGAGTAGTACTGCCAGTGCTGCCACATTGCTGTACCCGTGCTGATCCCCCTGCCTGGTAAGACGCTTTCGATGCTTTTTGATGGGCAGGCACAGTGTGTGGGTTCGCAGCTCAGCATCTCTGCCCTGGGCAGAGATCAGCCCTTGCCATCAGCAAGGTACAGAGAGAGCTTTATCAAACTTACTGCAGACATACTGTGAGGCTTAGAAGCTTAAAGCCATTTCAGCTGCAGAGCTTGACTCCTCCACAGCCCTGTGCCTTGCTCAGCTCTGGGACAAAGTTCCCAGGACATGGGAGAGCAAATTTCCACTGCAGTCCAGAAGGACTGTCTGGCTGTGAGTGTGCCAGGAGCCAGCAGGAAGCTCTGGATCCACATGATCTGTGCCTCCTGCTGCCGGGGACAGCCTTTTTCTAGCTGGCCCCACCACCCTGAGCCGCGGTTGTAGGGACACTGTGCCAACACGCCTAGCCCAGGGCCACGGGGGGCGTGGGCGATACGCTGCCGAGTGCCACCGGAGCACATAGAGCCGTGTGTGCCCCCGGCTACCAGGATAAACAGGGTTGGGCTGATCCATATAATCCCAGAGGTAAAAGTTCAGGGCAGTGCTTGTTCACTCAGCACGCACCCACGGAGACCGGCTGCGTGTCTGTCTCCCCGCACGGCGCCCGGGACGGCTCCTCATCCCGCTGTCGAGGCTGTAGCGACAGCCGCTCCCGGAAAAGCCGAGCAGGCGCCGGGAGCCAGCCGCGTCCTGGCTTCCTTCCCCTGGCGCCGTGGGAGGAGTGACGGAGGGGGAGGCTCCGCTCACGGCCGCTGCGTATCACAAAGCCAGGCCGCGGTCCGGCCTCACGGCGAGGGGCAACCCGGCAGAGACCCCCGAGGGGCTCCCCGCCTGCCGCCCGCCTTCCCTGGGCTGCTGCTCCCACAGCCGCAGGTCGGTGGAGGGTGTCCCGGTGGAGGATGTTCTCCGGGAAGTGGGTACCGGGGCAGCAGGACGGGGAAGGAAGAGGGCGAAGGGCAAGTAGAGGGGCTGTCACCCACCTGGGAAGGAGCCATCAGGCTCCATGACAGGGCACGGCATTCTAGTGTGCCTCCATCGCTGGGACTTGGCACGGGCAAGGAGATTTTCAGGCTGCCTGGAACTCGGTAGCATTCCTCCCCAGGGCATCCAAAGGTAACACCAAGATAGTACAAAACTCAGCAGTGGCCAGTCCCCACTTGGCAGGGGGGAGGAAACAGAAGCTACTTCACAACCCCAGGCAAACTTCGGGGGGGCTGCCTCTCTGCTTGGGGCCTCTTTGGTGCACAGGGCCAAAAGTTTGCACAGCTGCACTCCCCAGCCTCACTCTCCGGCACTGTCCCCAGGCAGAGATTCGGTGGTGAAGCCCAACATGGCAAAGAGAGTGGCCATCATCGGCGGAGGCAGCAGCGGGCTGTGTGCCATCAAAGCCTGCCTGCAGGAGGGGCTGGAGCCCGTCTGCTTCGAGAGGAGCCGGGACATCGGAGGCCTCTGGAGGTTTGAGGTAAACCCTGCCAGTCACGTATTCTGGTGGGGGTCAGCAGAGTGGCCCCCAGGGATCAGTGGTGTCTGGTGGGGTGGCATGCAGCCAGCCATGGTGGGGTCCTCTCTGTGAGACTGAGGGAAGGGGCTCCATGTAAAGGAGCAGCACAATCAACCTTGGCCATTCCTCCCCATCAATCCCCTGGCCAGCGCTAAGCCATGCCCTGCTCCTACAGGAGCGCCCTGAGGACGGACGTGCCAGCATCTACCGCTCCGTCATCATCAACACCTCCAAGGAGATGATGTGCTTCAGCGACTTCCCCATCCCCGAGGACTTCCCCAACTACATGCACAACTCCAAGATCATGGAGTACTTCCGCATGTACGCTCAGCACTTTGACCTGCTCCGCCACATCCGCTTCAGGGTGAGAGCTGGGGGGCCAAGGGGGTGGTGGCAGCGGGGCCAGGGGGCGCAGGGTGACTGACACCCACTCCCCCTGCACCCAGACCAGCGTGTGCCGCGTGTCCAAGCGCCCCGACTTTGCCACCACGGGCCAGTGGGAGGTGGTGACGGAGAGCGAGGGGAAGCAGGAGGCGGCTGTCTTCGACGCCGTGCTGGTGTGCAGCGGGCACCACACCGACGCACATCTCCCACTGAACACCTTCCCAGGTACTGCCCTGCTCTGCATGAGGAGACACCCCAGAAAGCTCAGCCATGACAGTCCCTATCCTCCCTGCTGCTTTTCCTCTCAGCCCTAGCATTTCCCTGCCTTGCTTTGACTTCAGGAGTGTTCCCATGCTCCCCAGGAGTAGTTTGGTGGGGTGAGGGAGCATCTCCACTTCAGTCTTTGGGGGAATGATCCTCCAGCCTGGCACCAGGAAGCCAGCCCTATCTTCTCCCTGCTCACAGGAATCGAGAAGTTCAAAGGCCGCTACCTCCACAGCCGAGACTACAAGGATCCTCAGGATTTCAGGGACAAGAGGGTCGTTGTTATCGGGATTGGGAATTCGGGGTCAGACCTGGCTGTGGAGATCAGCCAAACAGCCAAGCAGGTGAGAAGCAGGAGAAGGGTCCCGGTAGGAAGGGCAGCCCACCATGGGACACTGTTGGCTCCACAAGGACACCAGGACCAAGGCACTTGCACAGCCACTCCTCCATCCAAGCACTCTCTGTATTTGGCCATGCTGGCACCTGCCAGTCCCAGCCACCAGGCAGTGGCAGCAGTTTAAAGTCAGTCCCACATAGATCCCAATTTGCTTCCCTGAGCCCCAGGCTGAGGCTGCCCCTGTGGCACTTCCCTACCTCTCCCTGCTAGATGCCAATCACCAGTTCCCTCTGCCCTCTGGGTCTTTGCCCAGTGTGGCAGCAAGCACAAAGCAGAGTGATCCCAGGGCAAACACATGTCCCCCCTGGGGCAGCCCCCCAGGACCATCACTGCCTTCAGGAGGTGATGCTTCTTCCTTGTCCAGGTGTTCCTCAGCACCCGCCGGGGTGCGTGGATCCTCAACCGCGTTGGAGATCAGGGCTACCCCATCGACACCATCTTAACCACGCGCATGAAGGTATTCCTGCAGGAGCTGCTCAGCCCGTCCCTGGCGTGTGACTACATGGAGAAGAAGCTAAACGCTAGGTTTGACCACGCGCGTTACGGCCTCAAGCCAAAGCACAGGTATCAGCAAACACTCCCCCTGCCCAGGAGGGACCCTCCACCTCCCTCTGTGTCCAGCCTTGCTTGGCCATTCCATGCTCCCTGTGTCTGGGCTCGGGCCAAGAGGCTCCAGCCCTGGAAACCTGGTTAATAGTTGTGTTGTGCCCAAACAGTGCTCGAGGGAGCCACCACTGCCCCTTCCAGGGACCCTTAATGGCACCAGTGCAGGGGCAGCTGCTGAGCATCTCTGCGGGACCAGCCCTTTGACAATGAGCGTCCCTAGGGATGAGCATCCCCAGAGCAGGGAGCAGTGGCTGGAGCAGGACACAGAACAGAGACACTCCCTCCCCAATGCCCTAATGGCTCCTTGTACCTTCCAGGGTCCTCCACCAGCATCCAACCGTCAATGACGACCTGCCCAACCGCATCATTTCGGGCAGGGTGAGGGTGAAGCCGAACATCCAGGAGTTCACAGAGACATCTGCCATCTTCGAGGACGGCACCAGGGAAGACATTGATGTTGTAGTTTTTGCCACAGGATACAGCTTCTCCTTCCCATTCCTTGAGGGCTTCGTGAAGGTGGTGGAGAACCAGATCCCCCTCTACAAATTCATGTTCCCCCCTGACCTGGAGAAGCCAACGCTGGCTTTCATCGGCTTCATCCAGCCCCTGGGTGCCATCATGCCCATCTCCGAGCTCCAGTGTCGCTGGGCCACCCGTGTCTTCAAGGGTAAGTGAGGTAAACCTGTCCCGTGGCTGCAGCCTGAGCCTGAAGCCCTGGCGTAGGGGCAGATGGTGCCCAGCCATGTCAGGGAGTCTGTGGCATCCTGGCTGGCAGCCCTAACGGTGAGATGGGCTCTTGCCTGAGAGGCACAGAGACATCCATACCCTGTGTTCCATGGGCTGCTCCTTCCCATCCTGAGTTGCTCAGACATGCCTCAGGTGCCAGACCACCCACCACGGTGGTGCCAGCAGGGGCGCAGCACCCAGGCAAGGGCAGCACCACAGAGGCCACCGTGGCCAGCAGGGTGCAGCCCCTCCACGCTGTGGCTCACCTTCCCCAGGTCTGAACGAGCTGCCCCCGCGGCACGACATGGAGGCTGACATCAAACAGAAGAAAGAAGAGATGGCAAAGCGGTAAGATCCCCACAGGAACAGGGAGGGGGCTGCCGTGGGCACAGCTGCCCGTGGGCAACCGTCCTGTGCCATGGCTGCATCCCAGCACATTTGTTCATGCCAAGAGATGTCCGATGTGGTTGGCCACACTAGCCCCAGCCCGCCAATCCTTCCCCGTGGTGGTCCATCCAATACTGCCTTGCCGGTGCGCAGGGCACCTGTCAGCTCTGCTGCCAGCACCTGCCCTTCCTCCCCACCCACAGGTACGTGAAGAGCCAGCGGCACACCATCCAGGTGGATTACATCCCCTACATGGACGAGCTCGCCTGCCAGCTGGGGGTAAAGCCCAACCTGCTCACCCTGTTCCTCACGGATCCCAAGCTGGCTCTGGAGGTGGCCTTCGGTCCCTGCACGCCGTACCAGTACCGGCTGCGGGGCCCGGGTGCGTGGGCGGGTGCCAGGGAGGCCATCCTGACCCAGCAGCAGCGCATCATCAAGCCCCTGCAGACGCGGCACGTGGAGGAACATCTCTCAGCCCCTGCTGTGCCCCTCATCTTCAAGGTGCTCGGGGCCGCGGCCATCCTCGTTGCTGTTTTTGCTTACTTTTAAGTTCCCTGCAAGCGTGGGAGGGGAGGGTCTGCAATGTGCCAAGGGACTGGTCACCCCTGCCCCACAGCAGTCTGCGCACCCCAGTGCTGGCAGAAAACCTTCCCCCTGCCTGGCACATCCCCATTGTGACCACACCATGAGCTCGGGATGCACAGAACCCCCCCAGCTGCCAAAATAAAGCTTGGACGCCTGTGCTGTGCCTCTCCCTGTAGAGCTGCTGCCAGGGACAGGGAAGGAAACCTTCTCACATGCAGGGTAAAATCCAGTCCCTCTCAGCCAGTGCTCTGGGCTTTTCTGTCTTGTATAACCCAGCTGTGCCACTGCTGGCACACACACATGAAAGCTAAGCAGCAAGGCACTGCACAATTCCTTACTGCATAAATGCATTAAACACCCAGGCATCGTCCTGTTACTGACAACATCGTGACCCGCTGAGTGCCAGGGGAATGCTCACGGGTGTGAAGTCATCACTGTGCCACTGGCCCACAGCAGTACACACGTACACACCTGGGTGTATCCACAGCAAGACAGCGTCGATCAGGGTGTGGGACACGGGAGCAGGTCACAGGGTCAGAGTTCAGCGCCACCTTCGTCACCTGCACGCAGCCCCTCCAGAAGATGGCTGGGTGGGATGGGCATCCAGAGTGGTGTCAGGAGTCTTGGCCACCACACACCTGGGCTGGCATGACTGCTAACCACCTAAGCATCCTCCTAGTTTGTCTTCCATGCTACAACCTGCTGAAATCTGGAGCACAGCCACATCTCTGCCCTGCCCAGCAAGTCCTGGAGCAGTGCCAGCATCATCAGGTGCTTACAGAATGTAATGAGCCTCCTGTGGAGGGCAGACATGGACAGGGGGAGTGGCAGAATGCTGGGGGGAACCTGTAGATCATGTCTAGAAGAAACACATCTTATGAAATCCTAGCTGTCCTTGGCCACCCACAGGAAGCACAGGGACAGTCACTCCCAAACTGAGCAGCACTGTGCATCCTCCCTGGTGTAGCCTGCCAGGCTCTGCAACCCGCTCAGTGCCACAGCTTCTCCAGAATCCCTGCCAACACCAGAACGTGGGACATGGCTGCCCAGAGAGTAGCCATCATTGGTGCCGGTGCCTCTGGCCTGTGTGCCCTGAAATGCTGCCTGGATGAGGGGCTGGAGCCTACCTGCTTTGAGAGGAGCAAGGACATCGGGGGCCTCTGGCGCTTTGAGGTAAGGCCCATGCTTGCCAGCCTGCCCCACGGCAGCAGAAGGGATGGGATTGGGATTGGTTCTTGGCAGATAGCGAAGCACCACTCCCCTGCTTTGCAAGCACGTGCCAGGCAGATTTCCAAGGTGAACGACAGGAAAGTAAAACAACTTGGCAGCAGAAGGTCCCCGTGGTGCCAGCTGGTGTGCTGGGCACATGGGGCCCATCTCCTTCCCACCAGCAGCAGCATAGACCCTCTCCAAGGACCTCACCCCAGGGCTTACTCCCCCAGCTCAGCCTTCTTCCTTCCCATCCCTCCCTTCCTGGTCTCATCCACCTCTTGCTCTGCTGATTTGCTCTTGGTCCCCTCCAGCCCTTTCCCACCTCTCGCTGTCCTATCTGACCCTACTGTCTGTTCCAGTCTCTGCCCTTCCCAGCCTTTCCCTGGAATCACTTTTACTCCCCTCCCTGCTCACCCACACAGAGCCACCAAGTGCTGCCTCCTCTGTGCCTTGGCTCTCCCTTTCTCAGGGAAAGCACCGGAGCTTGTTTCTGCACCCACCTAATAAGGCTGCTGACTTTTCCCCCATGGACCCACCAACAAGAATACCAGTGCTCCCACCATGCCCTGATATGCAGGTGGGAGAGGCCGGGGGGACACACATGGGCACCACACCAGTGTGGGGTTGGGAGTGGCTCAGTCACAGCCTGCTGGTCCTGCCCATGATGGGTCAGGAATGGGACTGGTGTGGCAGAGCCAGGGAAGCAGCATCCAGCTGCTAAGGCACAGACCTGGCAAGCAGAAGCAGCCACCCAGCAGGAAGCACTGGAGCTGGCTCTACAACCGGCAAGACCTGATGTGGCAGCTGCGGCAGTGACACCACAGGCAACTTTGGGAATGCATCGCCTCATAGGGGCAAGGAGTGGGATTGGGGAAACTGAGGCACAAGACCACCATGACCTGCTGTCACTACTGCCTGGTTGTCACCCAGAGCTTCCTCTTCCTCATTTTTGAGGCGGGTGGTCTCACTCGTGGGAGAGTGCAGGGATGGGTGCTACGGTCACCTGTGGCCTAATCCAGCATTCACAGGCACAGGGATGTGCCAGGCATGGCAGGTAGGTGGCCCTGCAGTCCCTGGCCAGCACTGAGCCACGACCCACTTCCACAGGAGGACCCTGAGGATGGCCGTGCCAGCATCTACCGCTCCGTCATCATCAACACCTCCAAGGAGATGATGTGCTTCAGCGACTTCCCCATCCCCGAGGACTTCCCCAACTACATGCACAACTCCAAGATCATGGAGTACTTCCGCATGTACGCTCAGCACTTTGACCTGCTCCGCCACATCCGCTTCAGGGTGAGAGCTGGGGGGCCAAGGGGGTGGTGGCAGCGGGGCCAGG